CAGGTCCTGAGCCTCCCCCTACCCTGTGGGATTTGGGGCCTGCATGTGCTGCCGGTGTCAGGACACTACTGGGGTGCTTGAAGCAGGTGCAGAGGGGAGGGGCATTCCCGCGACCTGCCAGCAAGGGCAGCCCTGGTGAAGGGGCCTCTCAGTGTGCAGGGGCTGCTCTGTTTCCTCCAGGAACTCAGAAATACCCAGGGAAGCCACTGTAGGGAAGTGGTGGGGGCGGGGCCAGGTGTGGCTAAGTCCTCAGAGAGGACGCACTGAGGGGCCCTTCCTGACTCCCACTGCCAGCCCCTCACTAGCTGAGCCCTGCTGGGACTGGAGAGTCCCTGGCGCCCTCCATGGCCCTGAGCGTGCCCTCCCACTCTCCGGAGTGCCAGGAGGCGAGGCTGGCAAGTGCCCCCTGCCCTGCCCCTCTCCACACAGTCTGTACCTGTCACTACAGGGCTCCATCTCACTCAGCTGTGACCCCCACACATGGGCTTGATTGTGCAGACCGGGCATTTCAGGGCTGAAGTGTCAGGCCTGTGCCCATGGCTTCCCACACCACACACCCCACCTGGCTGGAACCAACATCAGGCTCTGCTCCAGCTGCACCTGGAAATGGTGGCCCAGGATGGGGCCACCAGGTGATGCCTGGCTGGGGTGCTGGGGGCCCTGGTGGTCATCAGGCAGCCCTGGAAGAGGTACTCCAGGGACCCATACGCTCCTGGAATCTCCTGTACCCACTGCAGAGGCCCTACAGCAACTTACGGCGTGGACAGCCGGACTCAGGCAAGGCGTCTTGGGTCAGTAGAGAGGAAGTCCCCAGCTGGCTTCCCAAGGTCAAGGATTCAGAGGGTCACACGAGGGCCTGTCTGATCCTGGGTCTGGGGATCACGTGGGTTTTCCTGAGTGGGGAATAATGGAGCAGAGGAATCCTCTCTGGCCAGGCTGATGCTCCATCTTCCCATGGGAGGATAGTGACTGTGTTGGCCCGGACACAGTGGGCCACAGGACCGGCTGTGGCAGAAGGAGAGCTGTGGGTTAGGCAGCAGTGTGAGTGCCTGGAGGAATTATCCCAGGAGCTAGACCGTCAAGGACTTGGCCTGACCCCAACGCGAGGCCAGATGGCCGGTGGGTGGGCAGTGGGTGAAGTTAGGGGCTCCTGGGCGGTGAGGAAGGGGCCAGGTGCCTCTGCTTATGAATCTGGGGGACCCAAGAGGCTGGTTGGCCCTGCCCCAGCCAGTGAGGCTCTGAGCCCTGCTCTGTCTTTCACACCCCTGCAGATGCGGAGGCCGGGCCTCCTCAGCCACCTTGCTTTCCCCAGGGGCCACAGTTGGAGAACCCCATAGAATCCTGGGACAGGCCCTAGAGGCCCTGCTTGTGGATGGAGCAGCCGCTGTCGGGGATGAGCCAGCCCCTGGGCACAGCTGTATGGGAGCTGGGCCTGAAAGGGCAGGTCGGCAGGTCCAGATGCTACACCTGCTGCTGCAGAGACTCCGTCACAGCTGGAGGGGCCGGTGGCAGTTCTGTGCTCTGCTGCAGGGGACGTGAGCGTAGGGCAGTAGGGTTTGGGGTATGCATTCCTCACTGGGTCTCCAGTCACAGTGGCAGGAATATAGGCCTCCAGAGTCCAGAGCTGGCCTGTGTTCCTGTGCCCTGCAGTGCTCCCTCTTGCCCTGGGGCCCTGCCCTCAGCCCTCTGCCTGGTGGGCTCTGGTTGCCTCCTGTAACTTCCCCAAAGCCTGGAACAGACATGGAGCAGCAGCAGCAGCAGTTTAGAGCCTCGGGGGCCATGGGCGGGAGCTGCAGGGGCTCACGTGGGGCCACGGCTTTGCCACGTGGTTGCGGGAGACACATACCACATCTGACCCACCCTCACCAGCTGCAGCAAATCCAGGCCATAGCAAGCTCCATGCGAATCCAAGCCCAGGAGACGTGGCATCATGGAGGCCCTGGGGTGCGGCAACCACGGCCCACGTGCAGATTGTGTAGCACGTCATCTCGGGTACATGTCTGCTTGTGTCCATGGCCGAGGGCAGGGAAGGTGGCACCAGCATACTGCCATGGTCCTCTTTCCAGAAGGAGGAATATGCAGTAGGGCTGGCCAGAGGCAGATGGGAGCCTGGTGTGCTGGTCAGTGCCTAACAACTGGCTGGGGTTGGGGGCCTGATTTCTAGTGCTTGTCAGTGTCCATAGTTACTCACATGGTGTGAGCAAGTAAACTAGATTCCTACCATTTAACAACAGGTTCACAAGATCCTCAAAGTGTAACAATCGGTGCTTGGAGGCCTCCGACGCAGCTACGTGCCCCTTGCGGTCATATCAGAGGCAGGGTCAGCGAGAGTTTAGAGCCCAGGTTTGTTGCGGCAGGGATCAGAGTTCACGTCCAAGGTCCCTATGCTGACCCCCACCGACAAAGGTGCAGATGCAAGGGGAGTGGAGCTGTGGCGTAGCAGGCCGGCCGCAGGGTGGCAGCCTGGGAGGCGCTGCTCGGCTCCTGAGGTAGAGCGGTGGGCACTGCCTGCCCACGTCATCAGATCCAAGGTGGCCCCTGCGCTGGGCAGCCCTGGAGCTGCCCCAGAGCTGGAGGTGCAATGCAGTGTGCACAGCAGACCAGGAGAAAGCCCAGGAGGCTGGAGGTAAGGGTCTGGGGGTGGGGGAAGGGATGTCCCGCTCGTCAGCTGCCTCTTCAGGGAGGGCTCAGCCGGGGCGCAGGACGGGGCAGGGGCTTCTGGCTGAGGCTGGAAACTCATACAGGGGCTGCAGAGCAAGGGCTGCAGGCAGCACCACGGGGAACGGCCTGCGGGAAATGATTCCACCACACCCCTCTGCCCCCTCACACCTCTTGTCCAGGGGCTGCTGGGGTCCCCAGACCCCTGAGATCTCTGACCTGCTCTGATGCCATAGTGCTGCCTAATACCCTGACCATGTGAACACCCTACTTAGTGGCTGCCCTGCTGTGACCTCCCTGTGATCCCCAGACCTTTGACTCAGGTGGCGTGGCACATGGCCCAGATGACACTGGGTGGATGTGACCCCAGTCCTGAGGCATCTGTTCAGTGCAGCTGTGACTCTCAGGGCCCGTCTGGCCCTGCATTAGCAGCAGGCCCAGGAGACCCAGGAGGCAGCAGCATATGCCATGGATGTGGCTGGGGGGCCAGGGCAAGGGCAGATGCCGGCAGTGGACACTGGGGTCTCGAGGACCCCTGGAACAGTATGAAATGGGCTTTAGGCTGGGACTGGTCTATGTTGGGCTGATTTCTAAAGCCCCCCTGCCTCCAGAAATCTTGGGCAGCAGTATTTGGGGCAGTAGGGTCCAGGAGGGGTGGGGTTTCAGGTCATCCTGCTCTGGGAGCTGCAGGTGGCCCAGGGAGGTGTGACAGGGTTGCAGGAGGACACACACAGCCTGGTGGCCATGGCGCTGGATGCAGAGAGCAGGCACAGTGGAGCCGCTGGAGCCGCCTGGAGGGTGTGTAGCCGGGCCATGGGGTTGAGTCAGGGTCAGATCCGAGGGTTGGTGTCAGAGCAGGGCTGGTGTGGGAGGGTCAAAGTTGGGCCCAGGTCAGGTCTAGATTCATGTAGGGATCAGGGCTGGGTCAAAATTCAGAATGGGGTCAAATGTTGATTAGGGTTAGAACTCATTTAGGGCTGGGGTCAGAGTCAGGGTCAAGACAGGTATGAGGGCCAGAAGTCATAGCCTGGCTCAGATGACCTGTTCCCCAGGGTTGGAATGCCACCTGGCACAGAACAAGCAGGCACGGGACCAGAAAGTGGGCTGCCTGGGAGCCCTGGAGCGGCTTGAGCCCGGAAGCCTCTGGCTCAAGGTGTATGTCCCCAGCTGACCACTGTCTCTGGACACCAGGAACAGGGCCCCAGACTCCCTCGTGCCTCAGAGTGACCCAGGAAACATCTGACCTTGAGAGACCAGAGACTGAGTGCCCTCTGACCCTGGGTGATCCCCATTTGACCTCATGCTGTCCTCCAGTGCTGCTCTGACCTTGAGAAACCAGAGATCATGTACAACCCTAAGGCCCAACTGATGCTCCTGGCAGATCCTTCTCTTCAAGACCCACTGGCATCCCTGAGCACCCCAGGTTGACTACATGACCCCCAGGTGACCGGAGTACCCTATGCCAGATAACTGAGTAATTCCTGGCAACCCTGAAAGTCCAGCAGGTTGACTGCGCCTGCCCAGGCTCTCTCTCCTAAGAAGCCTGGGGAATCCCTGGAAGAACCCCCAGCCTCTTCCCCTGGGCCCGCAGTTCTGGGAACTCTCCACCCAGCCACAGACAAGGTGGGCACCGCTGTGGCAGCTCAGAGCAGCCTGCTGCCCTGCAGACCCTCACCGGACAGCCGAGGTCCCAGGGGCCTGGGTGGGGCATCGCTCAGCAGCCCGCATTCCAAGCCTGGTTCTGGCACTCCCGGCAGGCCAGAAGGTCCGGGGCGGATGAATGGCCATGAAACCTGGATTCGCTCACTGCTGCTCCAGTCTGCCCTGGGCACCCAGCCCAGCGCCCACACCAGGAAGCTGAGCTGAGCTGGTACGTCCAGTGTCCGCTTGCCGCAGTGGCAGGGAGGTTGGAGAGCCCCTGGAGCCTTTCTCCATCTCCCCAACCCTCATCTCGCCCAGTCCCTTGGGCGGCACTGTCCCAAAGCTTCCCACATCCCTGAGTACATGCCCTCCCGCCTCCCCTCGAATGCTGGAGCCCTGGGACTGAACAGCCTGGTGACGGTGGCTTCCACAGCACTTGGGGCTCTGGGGACAAAGGCTAGCTTCCACGACCAGTTGAGGTCTCCAAGGTCAGACCCCTCTCCTTCACTCATGCCATGCCCCCCACTGGGTAGCCCCGTTAACTGGTGGCCTGAAGCCCCTTGACCCTGGCTCTGCCCGGGTCTGGGTGTGAGTGACAAGAAGGGTCTGCTTGTGAGGATCCAGAATGAGGGCTGTTCCCAAGCAAGCGGGGGAGGGGACCTCCGGGCAGCGCTGCGCTCCTGCCTGAGAGCCGATCCGCCCCACGCTTTCCTTCCTGCCCTGCCTCCCAACTTCACTCCAAGTCGGACTCTGTGCTGGTGGAGGGACCTCCCGACAGACCAAGGACTGAGTGGGGACTCAGCCGAGGACCCACACAGGCAGGGTCTTCACGGAACCCCGAGGGAGGGGGTGGGTGGGCACGGGCCCAGACCTCTCATCTCCCCTTATCCCCATCCCACCCCTCTTCAGGATGGAGCGGGCCTCAGGGGAACGAGGAGGGGACCCGCAGGGCTGGCCAGCGCCCTGGGAGCTTCGACTGGGCCTGCTGCTGAGTGGTGAGGGGGCCTGGTGGAGGCCGGGGGTCTCGGGATGTGACGGTGGGTCGGGGCAGCCAGCCTTGGGGCTGTTGGGTGGGAGCACAGCAGGACTGCTGACCCCTGTTCCCAGTGCTGGCCACCGCCCTGGCCCCGGCCCCGGCCCCGGCCCTGGAGGTGCCAGGCTGCTCCCGGGGAAGCTGCTACCCAGCCACGGGGGACCTGCTGGTGGGCCGTGCCGACAGACTGACGGCTTCGTCCACCTGTGGCCTGCACGGCCCCCAGCCCTACTGCATCGTTAGCCACCTGCAGGTGCGGTGGGGGCTGGGGTGGGGGCCAGGTCAGGATGGAGGGCTGGGCCTGGGTGAGGCACTGAGCCTGACCCTGACCCATCCCAGGATGAGAAGAAGTGCTTCCTGTGTGACTCCCGGCGTCCCTTCTCCGCTAAAGACAATCCGAACAGTCATGGCATCCAGAATGTGGTTACCAGCTTCGCACCACAGCGCCGGACGGCCTGGTGGCAGTCAGAGAACGGTGAGGCCGTGGGTAGGGCATGAGATCGGTGTGGCTACCGCAGTGGCCTCAAGGCCCTGACCTCTGACTCCTGCCCCAGGTGTCCCCATGGTCACCATCCAGCTGGACTTGGAGGCTGAGTTCCACTTCACTCACCTCATTATGACCTTCAAGGTGCCTGCATGTCTGGGAAGCTGCTGGAGTCTCCCCGATTGCTCCCCCCGCAGCCCCGCGTTTCTCCTGAGCCATCCCAGCTCCCCAGCCTGCTTCCCCGAGCTCACGTACTGTGCCCTGGCTGCACGACAGGCCCCCTCACACCCATCCCTTCTGCCGCCTTCTGCCCCCATGCCTTTGTACACCCTGCCTTAATCCCAGGCTGGAGCAGGCCCAGCCTCCCTGTGCCCCATGACCCTGAGCCCCCCACTGGAGTAGCTACCTGCCACTGCTCACCCCCACTTGCGCATGAGCTGCTTGAGAGCTGGTCCCAGCTGGGCAGGGCTCTCGACGGGGCTCAGCTGGCCTTGGGTCCTGGTTCCTGCTGACCAGCCATGCCCCCACCAGACATTTCGCCCTGCTGCCATGCTAGTGGAGCGCTCAGCTGACTTCGGACGCACCTGGCACGTGTACCGATATTTCTCCTATGACTGCGGGGCTGACTTCCCAGGAGTCCCACTAGCCCCTCCTCGACACTGGGATGATGTAGTGTGTGAGTCCCGCTACTCAGAGATCGAGCCGTCCACTGAAGGCGAGGTGAGGGCTGGTGTCCAGACTCGGGCATGGAGTGGGGGATGGCGGGCCTGAGGCAGGGTCTAGTGCCTCTATGACCCCATGCCCCTCCAGGTCATATATCGCGTGCTGGACCCTGCCATCCCCATCCCAGACCCCTACAGCTCCCGGATCCAGAGTGAGTGTCCCACCCTGGAGTCTGGCGCAGCCCCAGCGTCCGGCTGGTGACTAGTTGAGGCCTCAGTAGCTATTTTGGCCGCTTTCTAGGGCAGGTGCCAAGTCCAATTTAGCTCATATAGCAGCAGATGGGAGGGCTCCCAAGGTGACCTTGGCAGCTGCAGCCCTTGGGTGGGCACAGGGCAGCAGGAGTCTGCCTGGCTGGCGGGCCCCCAACCTTTGGCCCACTTAGACCTGCTGAAGATCACCAGCCTGCGGGTGAACCTGACACGGCTGCACACGCTGGGGGACAACCTGCTCGACCCGCGGCGGGAGATCCGCGAGAAGTACTATTATGCCCTCTATGAACTGGTTGTGCGTGGCAACTGCTTCTGCTACGGACACGCTTCACAGTGTGCACCCGCCCCCGGGGCACCGGCCCACACTGAGGGCATGGTGAGGGACTGCTGGCCTGAGTGGGGCTGGGGGCAGGGGCGGGAATGGCCGGACAGCGCCAACCACCTGCCTGCCCCCTCCCAGGTTCACGGGGCCTGTGTCTGCAAACACAACACCCGTGGCCTCAACTGTGAGCAGTGTCAGGATTTCTATCATGATCTGCCCTGGCATCCGGCCGAGGACGGCCACAGTCATGCCTGCAAGAGTGAGTGAGCCCCTGGCCTCCTGCGCCCCATAACTTTGTGGCCTGGCTGGGGCCTAGGTAGAGCCTAGGCCAGTAGGCTAAGCCCCTAGCAGCCAGGCTGTGTTTGAGGGTGTCCAGGAGTCCTTCATGGCCCTGGGGACCCCCTCAACCCTCCTTCACAATCTGCTTTGGGTAGGGGTCCAGGGTGATGCTGAGGCCTTAAAGTCTCTGAGCCCCCACCCACAATGTCTAGCCCATGGCAGGTACCTAAGGTGTCAGTGGGGCCTCCTACACCCCTTGCCCTCAGACACAGTCCCTGCCCTTCCCCCTCTCCCCAAGAGTGCGAGTGCCACGGGCATGCCCACAGCTGTCACTTCGACATGGCCCTGTACCTGGCGTCTGGCAATGTGAGTGGAGGCGTGTGTGACACCTGTCAGCACAACACAGCCGGACGCCACTGTGAGCTGTGCCGTCCCTTCTTCTACCGGGACCCGGCCAAGGACCTGCGGGACCCAGCGGTGTGCCGCCGTGAGCTGGGCTTGGCCCAGGCGAGGGAGGGCTAAGCGGGCGAGGAGCAGGGCAGCCAGACTGTGGTCCGGCCTGCAGGGTCTGTGGTGGGGGCAGACCGGAAGTCAGCCTGGAAATCCAGAGTAGGGGTTGGGAGGGGACTGGTGCTGGGCTAGGTGGACAGGGTGACCTGAACCGCTTCTGGCCCACAGCCTGTGACTGTGACCCCGTGGGCTCCCAAGACGGTGGGCGCTGTGACCCCCACGATGATCCCGCACTGGGGCTGGTCTCGGGCCAGTGTCGCTGCAAAGAACACGTGGTGGGCTCTCGCTGTCAGCAATGCCAAGATGGCTTCTTTGGGCTCAGCGCCAGTGACCCTGTAGGCTGCCGGCGTAGGTGCCTCTGCCCTGGTCCCCACGCTGACCTTGACCCTTGACCTCCTAATCCTGACCCAGCGGAAGGTGCGCACTGCCACAGCCCCCCAGAGCGCTGACAGGTCTGCTTCCCCACAGGGTGTCAGTGTGACATGCGGGGCACAGTGCCCAGGAGCACCCCCTGTGACCCCAGTAGTGGAACCTGCTTCTGCAAGCGCCTAGTGACTGGACACAGCTGCAACCGCTGCCTGGTGCGATGGGGGGTCCTGGGGCTGGGGGCCCTGCATGGATCTCTGAGCACAGGGCTTGGGGGTGGTGTCTGCACCTCAGTGAGGGCTTAGGGTACAGCCCTGGCTGAGAGGCCTTAGGCCTGGGAGGCCAACAGTGGGAGCCAGTGGTCCAGGGACCCTGTTTTCACCAAGGGTGGTAGAGGCTGAGCACCACAGCTGGACTCCCTGCTGGGGGGTGAGGGGGGTCTGTTTCGGGCCCCCAGTGACCTCCTTTCCCCCAGCCTGGCCACTGGGGCCTGAGCCATGACCTGCTTGGCTGCCGCCCGTGTGACTGCGATGTGGGCAGTTCCGCGGACCTCCAGTGAGTGCTGGGGCCTTGGAAGGGGCTGGGGCTGGGCAGAACAGGGCTCCTCGCTGAGAAACTGTGTCCCCCAGGTGCAATGAGGCCACGGGCCAATGCCACTGCCGCCCGCACATGGTGGGGCGTCGCTGCGAACAGGTGCAGCCGGGCTACTTCCGGCCCTTCCTTGACCACCTAACTTGGGAAGCTGAGGACACCCAGGGGCAGGTACCAGGCAGGTCCTCGTCTGGGCAGGGTATCCAGCCCGGGGCAGGGCCTCGGGGAGAGCCGGGGCGCAGGGACAGGCCGCAGCACAGGGACGGCTCCTCGCCTGAGCCCCAGCCCGCTGTATTGCCTCCCAGGCCCTGGATGTGGTGGAACGTTTGGCGACCCCTGGTGGGACACCATCCTGGACAGGCCTGGGCTTTGTTAGGCTGCAGGAAGGCCAGGCATTGGAGTTCCTGGTGGCCTCTGTGCCAAGAGCCATGGACTACGACATCCTGCTACGCTTGGAGCCCCAGGTGAGACTCTGTGACACCTGACCCACAGCTGAACCTCAGGGTAGGAGCGTCCCCTCCATCAGCCTGCTTCCTCAGGTCCCCGAGCAGTGGGCAGACCTGGAGCTGACTGTGCAGCGCCCAGGGCCTGTGTCTGCACGTGGCCTGTGTGGGCACGTGCTGCCCAAGGATGACCACATCCCAGGGACCCTGCAGCCAGACACCAGGTGAGGGCACCAGATCAGCGCCTATGGTGGGCGTGAGGGTCAGCCCCAAACTCCGTGCAGGGTTCTGGGGAGCCCCTGTAAGCCTTCCCTGGGCGCAGTCTGGCGGGTGCTGTTGGGTGTGGACTGGCTAGAGGCTGGCATTTGTAGGAAGAGGGCATGTTCTGCAGTGGTCCAAGCTCAGAGGCCATGGCAGGGGTGTGAGGGTGGCCATCCAGCATCGCTGTCAGGGGCGCCCACAGCAGGGGGCGGGGCCGGGTGCCGAGCCCACGTGTGACAGGGCTGATTGCTGTTGGTAACATTTGGGTAGCTTTTTTTTCAGCACTTTGTTTCTTTTTAAACTTCATATCATGCACATATCCAAACACACAGAAGCAGAGAGAATAGCTTCGTGAACCTGGCTGCAGCCACTACCTGCATTCTGCTAGCTGTCACTTGTGTTGAAAGAGGTCCCCTGAGGACACACTGGGGGCGAAAACTGTGAGCTGGTGGTGCCACCACAGGTGCACAGACGTGTCTCAGTTGAAGTGATGAGAAGAGGAAGGTTCCAGAGAGTTCTACGGGCAGAGTAGAAATAGGAGAGAAAGTAGAAATATGAATCTGGAGTTTTTGGTTTGGGCATCTGGAGTGGGGTGGCCTCTACCGCCATGGAGAGGGAAGCAGTTCTGAGGTGCTTGGGCGGGCCTGGCAGTGCTCATGTTAGAGATATGAATTTGGGGCTTGTCACCAAAGAGGTGTGTCTATACGGAATGACCAGGAAAGCAAAGAGGAGCAGAAGCAAGCTCTAGGGTTGCTCATGCATTGGAGGCCAGTAGAGGAGGATCTGGGTGTAGGGGAAACCTGGGGTGTGGACAGGGTCTGGGAGTTGAGTGATGCATCTCAGGAAGGAGGGTGCTGGGACAGATCAGAATGAGAAGTGGCTGCTGGGCTTGGCTACATGGAGGTCCTTGGTGGCTGTGGCCCAGGGGTGTCTCCACAGCACGTGGGGCGAAAGACTCCACTGGAGTGGGAGGTCGGAGTGGAGGCAGTGCCTGTAGCCCAGCCTGGGGAGTGTGCTGGGCAGGAGTGTGAGGAGGGGGAGCAGCATGAGGAGGTGCAGGGACGGAGGGCAGGATGTTTCAGAGCCTCAGAGGGCCCTAGCACGGTTTGCAGGCTGACAGGAATGACCCAGGAAAGGGGTAGCGGCGGGGAGGTGACGCAGTCTTGGTGAAGACGAGCGTTGGCTGGAGGTCAAGGTGGGAGGTCAAAGTCAGAAGAAGTACGGAAGGCCCTTGGGGAGAAATGGTAAGTGTCTGTGCCTGGGAGCTGCTGTGGGCTGGCAGGCTGCGTGGAGCATTCTCACAGAGCCCGGGCCACACGGGCGGCTGGTTTCACGAGGCGAGCCTGCGGGATGTTGGCCCAGCCTCACTGCCTTGGCTGGTGGTCTGGTTGCTGAGCGCAGGGCGTGGGGGAGGGCAGTCCCAGGATGAGGGGCGCAGGGACCCTGGGCAATCCCCGTCCCTGTCCCTGCCTGCCCCCCAGGCACATGGTGCTTCCCAGACCTGTCTGCCTGGAGCCTGGCATCTCCTACAAGCTGCATCTGAAGCTGGTGCGAGCAGGGGGCAGTGCCCGGCCCGAGGCCCCCTTCTCTGGACCCAGCCTGCTCGTGGACTCAGTGAGCGGTCCCCTGTCCCTACACCCACCGAGAGGGCGGGGCCTGTGGGGTGGGCCCCCGGCGGCTGGGCAGGCCTGCAGGGCACCACCGAGCCCCTCTCACCACCCGTCAGCTGGTGGTGCTGCCGCGCGCGCTGGCGCTGGAGGTGTTCAGCGGGGGCGACGCCGCGGCCCTGGAGCGCAAGGCCACCTTCGAGCACTACCGCTGCCATGAGGAGGGCCTGGTGCCCAGCAAGGCCCGCACCCCCGAGGCCTGTGCGCCCCTCCTCGCCAGCCTGTCCTCCTTGCTCTACGGAGGCGCCCTGCGTGAGTGCCCACGAGGCGGGCTGCGGGCCGGGGGCCTGGCCGCTGGGCCTGACCTGGGCCTCCTGCCCCCGCAGCCTGTCAGTGTGACCCCCAGGGCTCCCTGAGCTCGGAGTGCAGCCCCCACGGCGGGCAGTGCCCGTGCAAGCCCGCGGTGGCTGGGCGCCGCTGTGACCTCTGTGCCCCTGGCTACTACGGCTTTGGCCCTTCAGGTTGTCAAGGTACTTGCCCGCCCCTTCCTGCCTCCTGACCTCCTCCCCGCCCCGCTACTGCTTCCCTCACTCTGCTCTGACTCTGAGCTGGACCCCAGACTCTCAGCCCTGGGGCCTTGGAAGTTCCTACCCTGACCCACCCAGATCCCCCTTGAAGCCCCTCCTGGGCTCAGCCTCTGCTTTGCTCCCAGCCTGCCAGTGCAGCCCCGAGGGGGCGCTCAGTGGGCTCTGCGAGGGAACCAGTGGGCAGTGCCCCTGCCGTGCTGGTGCCTTTGGGCTTCGCTGTGACCGCTGCCAGCGTGGCCAGTGGGGATTCCCTACATGCCGGCCATGTGCCTGCAATGGGCATGCGGACGAATGTGATGCCCACACTGGCACTTGCCAGGGCTGCCGCGACCACACCTCAGGCATGCACTGTGACAGGTGAGCCGCGGCCGGGAGAGGGTGCAGGGCGGGTGCCCGGGGACTACACCTCTGCTGCCCCTCCCGGCAGGTGCACTGCTGGCTACCATGGGGACCCACGGCTGGTGGCTGGGGGCCAGTGTCGGCCCTGCCCCTGCCCCGAAGGCCCTGGGAGCCGGCGGCATTTTGCTACTTCCTGCCATCGGGATGGTTACTCCCAGCAGATTGTGTGCCTCTGCAGAGCGGGTTACACAGGTGTGTGGGTGAGGCACAGGCTGGGGACCCAGGCGGGGCGGCTGGGCTGGGCGCTCATGCCTCCCCTGATCGTGGGCAGGGCCACGGTGCGACGCTTGTGCCCCTGGGCACTTTGGGGACCCATCAAGGCCTGGTGGCTCATGCCGACCATGTGAGTGCAATGGGAACATTGACCCCACGGACCCTGATGCCTGTGACGCCCGCACGGGGCAATGCCTGCGCTGCTTACACCACACGGAGGGGCCACACTGTGCCCGCTGCAAGCCTGGCTTCCATGGGCAGGCTGCCCGACAGAGCTGTCAGCGTGAGTGTGAGACTGCGAGGGGATCCCCAGGGCAGGGCCCAGCTGCCCAAGCCTCCTTTGATTTGTGTGCTTGTCTTGGCTGGCACAGGCTGCATCTGCCACCTGCTGGGCACGGATCCCCAGCAGTGCCTGTCTGCTGACCAGTGCAGCTGTGACCCGAGCAGTGGGCAGTGCCCATGCCTCCCCAATGTCCAGGGGCCTAGCTGTGACCGCTGTGCCCCCAACTTCTGGAACCTTACCAGTGGCCATGGCTGCCAGCCTTGTGCCTGCCACTCGAGCCGAGCCAGAGGCCCCACCTGCAATGAGGTGGGGGACTGCCCTGCGGGTCCCTGGGTGGGTGGGCCATGGTTTGCCTTGGGTCTTGGGAGCTCAGTCCCTGACTGAGGCTCTGGCCTCTGCCCTGCGTCCACTCTAGTTCACAGGACAGTGCCGCTGCCATGCTGGCTTTGGTGGGCGCACCTGTTCTGAGTGTGAGGAGCTGCACTGGGGAGACCCTGGGCTGCAGTGCCGGGGTGAGGGAGCCAGCTGGGCCAGGGTGGGCGGGGACATCCCAGGGTGCTCTGCCGCACCCTTACTCTGTGGTCTGCCCTCTCTGGCAGCCTGCGATTGTGACCCTCGTGGAATAGACACACCTCAGTGTCACCGCACCACAGGCCACTGCAGCTGCCGCACAGGCGTGTCTGGTGTGCGCTGTGACCAGTGTGCCCGTGGCTTCTCGGGTGTCTTTCCTGCCTGCCACCCTTGTCACGCATGCTTCGGGGACTGGGACCGCGTGGTACAGGACCTGGCTGCACATACGTGGCGCCTGGAGCAACGGGCACAGAAGCTGCAGCAGACGGGCGTGCTGGGTGCCTTTGAGAGCAGCTTCTGGCACATGCAGGAGAAGCTGGGTGCTGTGCAGAGAATCGTGGGAGCTCGCAACGCCTCTGCTGCCTCCGCTGTGCAGCTTGTGGAGGCTACAGAGGAGCTGCGGTGCGGAGGGGCCTGAACATACATGGTGTGCTGGGCAGTGATGCCATGGACCAGGGCTGAAGTCTCTCTAAATGCTATTCCCCACGGGTGTAGGCGTGAGATTGGGGAGGCCACCGAGCACCTGACCCAGCTGGAGGCATTGCTGACAGATGTGCAGGACGGGAACTTCAATGCCAACCATGCACTGAGCAGTCTGGAGCGAGATGGGCTTGCACTCAACCTCACCCTGCGGCAGCTCCACCAGCACCTGGACCTGCTCAAGCACTCAAACTTCCTGGGTGAGTTGTGTGCCAGCAAGGTGGTGGCCAGGGTTAGGGTACCTTCAGCTGACCATCTGCCTCTGCCCAACTTAGGTGCCTATGACAGCATCCGCCATGCTCACAGCCTGTCTGCAGAGGCTGAACGTCGTGCCAATACCTCAGCCCTGACAGTGCCCAGCCTAGTGAGCAACTCTGCAGGCACCCGGCACCGGACAGAAGTGCTGATGGGCGCCTGGAGGGAGGACTTTGACCGCAGACACATGGCCAACCAGCGGGCCCTAGATGAGCTCTCTGCCCGGGCCCATACCCTGAGCCTGACAGGCGTGAATGAGCTGGTGAGCCACAGTGTGGGGTGAGGTGTGGGTGTGCGGCCGTGTCTTCCACAAGGCCCTGACTTGTTCTGCACCTGGCAGGTCTGTGGGCCCCCGGGGGATGTGCCCTGTGCTGCGAGCCCTTGCGGCGGTGCCGGCTGTCGGGACGAGGATGGGAAGCTCCGCTGTGGGGGCCTCAGCTGCAACGGGGCAGTAGCCATGGCGGAGCTGGCACTGGGTCGAGCCCGGCACACACAGGCAGAGCTCCAGCGTGCGCTGGCTGAAGGTGGCAGCATCCTCAGCCAGGTGGCTGAGAGCCGTCGGCAGGCAGGCGAGGCACAGCAGCGGGCCCAGGCGGCTCTGGACAAGGCCAATGCTTCTAGGAGCCAGGTGGAGAAGGCTGACCGGGAACTTCGGGAACTTATCCAGAGCGTGAAGGACTTCCTCAGCCGTGAGCCTCCCGGTGGCCCAGGCAGTGTGGTTGTTTGCCCTGTGCCTGTGTTCATACTTGCGTCTCTGGGTTCATACTTGGGTCTCTGGGTTCATACTTGGGCCAGGGCCTGCACTGGAACTGTGTTTATGACCCTGTGTCTAGCCCCTGAGCCCCTGCCAATATGTGGTCTCCATGTCCGTGACCCTGAGTCTGTGCCCCGTGTAGAGTCTCTGTCCTTGTGGTCATATCCTTGTGTCTATTACCAAACCCATATGCCATGTGTGGTCCCTAAGTCCATACCCCAAGATCGTATTGCTATGCCCATGCTGGAGAATCTTGTGTCCCTAAGCCCCTTGCCTGTGTCGCCATAGAGGAGGGGGCTGATCCTGATAGCATTGAGATGGTGGCGACGCGGGTGCTAGAGCTTTCCATCCCAGCGTCACCTGAGCAGATCCAGCACCTGGCGGGCGCAATTGCAGAGCGCGTCCGGAGCCTGGCAGACGTGGACACCATCCTGGCGCGAACTGTGGGCGATGTGCGTCGGTCAGAGCAGCTACTGCAGGATGCACGGCGGGCATGGTCCGACCCCCACCCTGGCCCCCTCCTTGACAGCTGGTCCTGATACTTGCAGGCCCTGATTCCCTCTCTTCCCCAGGAGCCGCGCTGAGGGTGAGAAACACAGGGCAGAGAGAGTGCAGGCGGCCCTGGAGGAGGCCCAGCGGGCACAGGGTGCTGCTCAGGGCGCCATCCAGGGCGCGGTGGCTGACACACAGGACACAGAGCAGACCCTGCACCAGGTGTGCTATTTCTGGGACATCAGTGAGGCAAGGTTATGGGCATGTCCTATAGACCTGTTTAACCCCGGGCCACCCATGACAGGTGCAGGAGAGGATGGCAGGTGCAGAGCAGGTGCTGAGCTCTGCAGGCGAGCGGGCTCAGCAATTGGATGGTCTCCTGGAGGCTCTGAAATTGAAACGCGCAGGCAATAGCCTGGCAGCCTCCAGCGCTGAAGAAACAGCAGGCAGTGCCCAGAGTCGCGCCCACGAGGCCGAGCAGGTGGGCTGAGGCAGAGCCAGCTGGGGATGGGGGCAGAGGTTGGCCTCCACTGGGCCAGCACGCTGACCTGGCCCTCTACTCCCGCAGCTGCTGCAGGGTCCGCTGGGCGACCAGTATCAGACGGTGAGGGCCCTGGCCGAGCGCAAGGCCCAGGGTGTGCTGGCTGCGCAGGCGCGGGCAGAGCACCTGCGGGATGAGGCCCGGGCCTTGCTTCAGGCCGCCCAGGACAAGCTTCAGCGGCTGCACGGTGAGGACCCGCGCGCGGGCGGGCGCCAGGGGCGTGGGCGGCGGGAGCAGGCCCTTTCAGCGGAGCCCTGTCTTCCCAGAGCTGGAGGGCACCTACGCGGAGAACGAGCGCGCGCTGGAGGGCAAGGCGACGCAGCTGGACGGGCTGGAGGCCAGGATGCGCAGCGTGCTGCAGGCCATCAACCTGCAGGTGCAGATCTACAACACCTGCCAGTGACCGCCCCCCAAGCCCCAATAAACGCTGTGATCCCGCCGTGTGGACTCTTGATTGGGGGCGGGGACTGGGGTGGAGCCGCGCGGAGCCCCGCCCCCAACACCCGGCCGCGCCCGCCGGAAGTGCGTCACGGGTCGCGGCCCAGCCGCCGCGGCAGCCCTCGGAGTAGGAACAAAACAAGCGGCGGCGGCGGCGGCGGCGGCGGCGGCTGCGGCGGCACCTGGGTGGCGGCGCCGGGACGGGGAGGGCGCGCCGGAACCGGAACCGACCTCCGCCGGAACCGGAACCGAGAGCGTGTTGCCAGGGCCCGGGGAGGGCTGGCGCGGCGGCCTCTCTCGGTGAGTGGGACGCGCCGCTCCTCGCCGGTCTGGCCGGAGGAGGGAGGCCTGTTCAAGGTCACGGGCCGTTCCAGCCTGGGTCTCTCGGCCCCGCGGCGTGCCAGGCCCACCGGTGCAGGCGGAGCCGTTTCGCTGCTCCCGGGCCTGGCCTCTCGCCTTGGAGAGGGCTGACGGGAGCGAAGGAGGCTTCCTGGAGGAGGGAGTGGCGGGCCCAGGGTTCTGAGGCTGGAGCGCGGTCACAACCTGGCCGAGGCTCTCGTCTGTGGTCCGTATGCCCGCGCGGCCTTATGAGGCCGGCGTGGGTCTCTAGGCAGCCCTTTTCCCGCATCAACGATACTCTCGGGAGGATGGGGGAGGGACGAGGCCTTCGCAGGCGCCTGGGTACAGAGAGGTGGAAGGTGGTCGCTCCTCGGCTCTGGTCTCGTCATTAAAGAGACGGCCCACCGGTCCCATCTCTAACCCTTAGAAGGATGCCCCTCACAACAACAGAGTTGTCACTGCCCTGCTGTCTCAGACCCGGCTTGAGGCTGTCAGGGGTCCCGGATCCATGGCTCACTCCCACCCTAATCTTAGCTTTGAGAACTTGATTTTGAACGGAGAAACAACCTAGGATTCACTGGTGGGTCTGTGGGAGGCTGGGTAGAAAGTCTCTAGCTCAAAGCTGATGAGTGAGTGGACGTGGGAAGGAAGGGTATGTCTGCTGCAGTCTCACACAGGATGCCCTGGCTCTGGGGCAGAGTGGCTGCTGAAAGGGTAGTGTGACATCTGGATACCCTTTTACCCCAGTTTTTGCAAGCCCCTCTTTGCTTGGGACAGCAGCTGGAGAGAGGAAGCCCTCTGGTGATGTACGGGAAAAAGCAAGCAGTGCACAAAAACAGATTCAGTGGAGGGTAGGAGTTCACGTGCAGGCAGGTGGGGTGCCTTAGCCCCAGGACCTTGCCTGGGCAGTGGTGGCACCTGGGCTGGGCCTGTTTACAGCCACAGCCTTGTCCTCCTGCTCCCTGTCTCCTTTTCTGCCCTACTCCTCCACCTCCTACTTCTCAGGTGGTGACTAAGCAGCCAGTGAGAGTGAGAGAAAAGTGAGCACTGCTTAGAGCGCCAGCCCTGTGGGCTGAAGCCAACAGCTGCCTTCCAGATTGGTGGAGGAGCCTGTCCCGGGCCATGGCTACCTCGGCCTGGCGCCTCCTCAGCGAGGCCTCCATCTTTGTGGGTCTGTGTGGCAGGCCTCTAGCAGGCTCGGCTAGAAGTGGTTGCATTATTTATTCCCTCTTCAGAATAGTGTGAGGGTGTCCAGGGCTGTGTCAGGTGGTGGAGAGAGACTGCCCCGTAAGGTTGGCGGCATCTTGGGTTGCTGAGCCCTGGCTGTAACCCAGGGGCAAATTGTCAAGTCTTGGTAGTGATCACTGATCCCTTCTTGTTAGGCTGTCGGTTCTTTGCTGGAGAATTTGGTCACAAAGGGTTGCCAAGATAGCTGGGCCAGGAAGAAAGCGCCGTAGCCCTGACCCAGACGCTGTTGCCGACCCTGGGGCACTCTGGCTGTCAACCAAGCGGCTCAAGATGTCTGGCGGGACCAGTGCCACGGGCCCAAGGAGAGGACCCCCAGGGCTGGAGGAGGTCACCAGTAAGAAGCAGCAGAAGGACAGAGTGAACCAGGAGAGCAAGGACGGCGGCCCCGGGAGAGGTGCAGTGGCGTTCTGGAGTGCTTGTGGGCCCTCCCCCTGCCTGCTGAGCGAACCGACTGGGCTTGGGAGATGCCTTCTTTGCTGTTTCTTCTGTCTTGGTCTGGTGCTGAGAGGGATCCTCAGGCTGGACACAGCCTCAGCTTTGAGGTCTGGGTACTTGGCTGGACCCTGAGGATGGTGCTTGTGCAGTGGGGGGTCTGGGAGGCCACCTCCCCATCGCTATTTTCCTGTTCTTTGTTGTCAGCGTTGCCAGTCGCTTCTCAGGGGGAGCAGACCAAAGATGGTGAGTTCTTCTGGGTGAGGGATGAGGCCTTCTTGGTGCTGGAGTGTCGGGGGCATAGGGGCGCTGGGGTTGTTGCCCTCCTTGGAGCTGCCCCGTTAGGGCTGGGCCTCTGGTTCCCATTTACCCTGTCAGAGCTCCTGGAGACCTCACAGGCTCTTGGTGCTCTTACAGAGTTGCTGCTCGACTGGAGGCAGAGTGCAGATGAGGTCATTGTTAGGCTGCGGGTGGGAGCAGGCCCCCTGCGGCTAGAGGAAGTGGACACTGCTTTCACAGACACGGACTGTGTGGTGCAGCTTCCAGGTGCGTCCATCTCCCCTGAGCCCTGCAGCATGTTTGACTTCTCTGTCTCCCACTCTGGCTTATCACCACCACTCTGTCTCTAGGTGGTCAGCAGTGGCGTGGTGTTTTCTACGCCGAGATAGAAAGTTCTTGCACCAAAGTGCAAGCCCACAAAGGCAGCCTCCTGCAGCTGGCGCTGCTCAAGAAGGTGCCTCTGCTCACTTGGCCTTCTCTCTTGGTAGGTTTCTGAGCAGAGCAGGGCAGGGTGGGGATATCCACTGTAGTTGACAGGGCCTGACTTCTGTATCTTTGGCAGAAGAAACCTCTAGGGACCCAGGAGTTGGTGCCAGGGCTGCAGTGCCAGGAAAATGGACAGGAGCCACCTTCCATTGTCTTGGAACCAGGCCCTGAGCCCCGCCGGGCCAAGCAAGAGGCCCGGAACCAGAAGCGGGCCCAGGGCCGTGGTGAGGTGGGCGCTGGGGCTGGTCCTGGAGCCCAGGCAGGGCCTAGTGCCAAGAGGGCTGTACATCTCCTCAGAGCACCAGAGGGGGAGGGGCCCAGAGATGGCCCTGGACCCCAGGGTGATGCCCCCCCTTTCCTGACTGAGCCAGCCACCCAGGTGAGGGGGGTTGCCTGTGCAGGCATTGGTGTGGACTGCAGTGGGGGTCCCCCCACCAGACCCAGGGCTGATGTCCGTGCTCTCGCCATGAGTAGGTTGAGGCCGAGGGACAGCTCCAGGTACCACCACTGAACCCTGAGACCTTCCTCCTGGGCTCAGAGGAGGATCTAGCACTTTTGGCAGGAGGGAAGGCAGTGTCTGCCAGGAACGAACCAGTCTCCCCAGCGATGGCCCAGAGCAGAGACCCTGAGAAAGGTGGCTGTCCCAGAGAGGAGATGGCAGTGGTAGCAGATGCTACAGCCTTGGCGCATGGTAAGGGTGGGGCTGGGGGTGAGCAGCGAATCCCTAGGTTGGGTTGCAAGGCTGGTGGGTGGGTAGGGAGAATGGTGGCAGGCTGGAGCTTATCCTGGGTGATGCTGAGCTGTGGTCTCAACATAGAGCCTGAGTCCATGGTGAACCTGGCATTTGTCAAGAATAACTTGTACGAGAAGGGGCCAGACTCCATGGTGGTGCACGTGTACGTGAAGGAAATCTGCAGGGATGCCTCCCGAGTGCTTTTCCGTGAGCAGGACTTCACGCTTATCTTCCAGACCAGGTGGGTGAGCAGGCAGGAGGTAGGGCAGCCAGTGTGCTTTCGGCAGGACGGTGCGTCTCACGCTTTTCCTCCTGGCCTGCCTCTTCTCTGCTTCAGGGATGGAAACTTCCTGAGGTTTCATCTGGGCTGCGGGCCCCAAACCATCTTCCGTTGGCAGGTGAAGCTCAGGTGGGTGGTGCCCAACCCACCACTGAGCCTGTCCCTCCCTGGGCTCGGTCTCCCTGGCCCATCTAGCCCGACACCCTGCACTTCACCAAAGTCTCTGACTTCAGTCTTTCCCTCAGGAACCTGATTGTGCCAGAACAGTGCACCTTCTGCTTCACAGCCTCTCGAATCGACATCTGCCTGCGGAAGCGGCAGAGTCAGCGCTGGGGGGGCCTGGAGGCCCCAGCTGCACAAGGTCTGCATGCGAGTTCCCTTTGCCGTCCAGCCCAGGCTGCCGGGAGTCCTGCCTCCTGCCACATGCTGCTAACCACCAGCCTCCTCATTCCCCCTTTTTAAGGTGCAGTGGGTGGTGCAAAGGTGGCCGTGCCGACAGGTCCAACCCCTCTGGATTCAACCCCACCGGGGGGTGCCCCCCACCCACTGACAGGTCAGGAGGAAGCCCGGGTTGTGGAAAAGGACAAAGCCAAGGCTCGGCCTGAGGACTCCGGGCTGGACGGCGTGGCAGCCCGCAGCCCCATGGAGCACGTAGCCTCGAAGCCAGAGCCGCATCTGGCCTCGGTGAGAACCCCAGGGCTGGGCCCAGGAGTGGGGCCGGAGAGCCCAGGGTGGGCTCTCACACTTCCTTTGCCTCCGCAGCCCAAACCCACGTGTATGGTGCCTCCGATGCCCCACAGCCCTGTGAGTGGAGACAGCGTGGAGGAAGAGGAGGAGGAAGAGAAGAAGGTGTGCCCGCCGGGCTTCACCGGCCTTGTCAACCTGGGCAACACCTGCTTCATGAACAGTGTCATCCAGTCTCTGTCCAACACCCGGGAGCTCCGGGACTTCTTCCATGGTGAGAGCGGGGCTGGGGGCCCGGGCCTGGGCAGGGGGATGGCTTCCCAGCCCTCACCTTGCCTTGCCTGCTGTCCCTAGATCGCTCTTTTGAGGCTGAGATCAACTACAATAACCCGCTGGGGACCGGTGGGCGTCTGGCCATCGGCTTTGCTGTGCTGCTCCGGGCGCTGTGGAAGGGCACCCACCATGCCTTCCAGCCCTCCAAGTTGAAGGTGACCTCGGCTGGCCTGGCGAGGACTGGGAG